CCTCTGCAGGGTCAGCCAGCCTGTGCTTGGGTCCTGTATGCCTCACCCCCCTCTCCCACGAAAAGCACCTTCCCCTCATGGGTCCCAGCAGCACATCTGGAGGTTTTCCAGCAAAACGTGTCGGGCGGGATGTACACAAGCAATTACCAAGATTTCAGATTCCCTCTGCATTTCCCCCTCACTGGAGAGCACTGCTTTACAGCTGCTGCTCCCAGGGAGGACCCACCCTGGGCTGCCCTCGCCCGTGTCCCTCCAAAGGTCACTGCCCTCTTCACTGCAGAGCTTGTTTCCCTGGGGAGCAGCTCGGGTCCCCTCAGGACTGCAGGGTGCTCTGGTAACAGGGGGATGGCAGCTGCATGAATATGCAGATTGAAATTGGATAGTTATTATATTTTTAATTTTTTTTTTTTTTTGGCAAATCATGCAAATTCACTTCAAAAGGCTGCAGCCATAATTTCAGTGACAGGCCTCTCCTCAATGACAGACTTTCATTTAGGAAGGGAAATCAATCCCCTGTAAAACTAATATTTATATTAACTCCATCACCGTGTCTGCTAGAAAATCCCCTCAATTTTGATTATGTGTTAATTAGCCTGCCAAGTTCTTGCCATTTCAGTCTCTAAATCAGCTCAGGAAAAGGCATAAAGCCCCATATCTGCCCAGAGCCAAGCCCTCCACCTGCTCTCTGGAGCCTTTCTAATGGATGAGCCATTACATCTTCTCTCTTAATTAAGCCTCACATCCTCCCCAGCGTGGTGGGATGGGGAGTCACACCTCCCCCCTGGGAGGGCAGGGAGGGCACAGCTTCCCTGCCAGACCAAATACACGAGGACAGCCACAGTCTGGCCCTAGCCAGACCCCATCCCATGGCCAGGGTGCTTGCACAGCCCAGCCAATGCTCAGCAAACCTGTGATCTGGGTGCCAGGGCCCCCCAGCTCCATTTTGCCGCAGGGAGCTGAGGTGCAAATGACTTTGTAGGGCTTGCTGTCCTCCCTGTGCAAACAAGGGTCAGGAGAGCCACATACAGCTCTGCTGAGAGGCATATGCACCACAGGAGTGGGGAGACACAGAGCTGGGTATGTGGTCTCCTTCCCACAGAGTGCAGCTGCTCACTCACTGCACAGAAGTGCTTGACTTTCACACCACTCCACACGCAAAACTCCCTCCTACTTCAAAGGGGACAGGATTGACCCCAGAGATCATGATGTGTCCCCAAGGCACAAGCCTTGAGAGTAGGTCTCATGAGAGTAAGTGGGGACCCAGTCCTGTCCAGCCCTGCTCCATTAACACCACGGAAATCTTTCCACTGGTTTGGATGCAGTAGGATGAAGGCCTTCAGGCAGAAATTCTCATGGATTGCAGGAAAAACACAAAACTTGCCCTTTTAAAGATCCCATGGGAAAACCACAGGAATGGTAAAGGGTCACCATCAGCTGAAAAACAGCTCCACATTTGTTTTCCTTAAAAAATAGGCTCTTACAAAACTTCAGAGCACTACAAACATTCCTCTGCTGGAAACGCTTTGAAACAAATAAACTTCTCCCTGCAGTGCCTGCAGCCCCAACGAGCAGCATTCCTGACCCTCAAAGCCAGCGAGGCCACAGCCCACAACAGAAGCTCTTGGTGGGTTTTTTACGCCTAGCCCAAGCACTGTGTGGCGTGGAGAGCTGTGAGGTTACAGCTGCCTCCTCTTCTGCCTGTGTGTTCAGCTGCAGACCTCTGAACAACGTGGGGTTCCCAGTGCTGCTGGGGCTCTGCCCCAACGCTCACCCGAACGAGAAGCAGCACGGGGAGAGGTGCAGATCCCACAGTGCTCTTCTAGGACCACAAGGGATTTACTTAATCATGAATTTAAATTGATTTACTTAATGCAGGGGGGGAGAAATGAGCCAAACACACCAATTCCAGCTTTTCAGTGCTGGCTTCTAAGCATAGCATCACTGAGAGCTATCCAATGAACGCAAGAGCACCTACCCGCTAAGGATACATCCCAGGATCTTTACTCCTTTCAGAAGCAAGACTACAGTGAAATTCAAAGATAGAGAAGAGCTGAGGTACCCAGCCCACCAACCCAGATTTATTTTCAGGTCTTCAGACGTCTATCTTGACACCACCAATGGCATGTTGCCATTGCGTGCAGCAGGAGGGGGTTGAAACCTCACTGAAACCCGAACTTGTTGCTCCTTGAAACTTGCTAGGTGCAGCTCAGGGGAATCTCTCTACCAATGGGAAGCATCTGAAAATCCACAGAGGGAAAAATCCTGGCAATTTCTTGAGGGGGGGGGGGATGGAGAAGGGAGAGACAGTATTTTCTAGGCTTGCAAAGGACAGGGTAACAGCTGGAACCACGCTGGGTTTCTGCTGAGTTGGGCACTTTGGGTCCACTTTCACCAACGGGGTCCCCAGCCCTGTAACGGGAGCCTGGAGGAGAGGACGTGGAGCTAATCCGTGGTGCAAAGAGCCCGAGGAACACAGGGCTAAAAAAAGAAATGCAGAGCTGCCTGAAAGAGTATCTTGGAAATAAAAATAGTGGAATGAGAGCAGTGGGTGTCTTGTCAGTCTCAAGAAGTTCTGCGCGCCAAAGACGAGGAGGAATTGCATGCAGCACATGAAATGAAATGGGGAGATATCTGAGGAATCCAGGCCTGTCTCTCAGCAGACTTTTCTAATCAAGTGCCTCACAGAGGATATTTCACCATGGTCATTTCCTTCCCCCTCTCTCATGCAGACTGAGCCAGGACTCCTCCTTTCGTTATTATTTTTTTTCCCTTTTAATTTAACTTTTTTTTTTTTGGCCATTTTCAGGAGAAATAGAAACACATCCCACGTGGCTCTTAAAGGCACAGCACATTTCCTTGCTACCGTGGAGCAGCCACGGCCTCTAGCCTGGGCCAGCACCTTTAAATCAGAGTCAATGGAGCTCAAGTGGCTTTGAGTTCCCGTTAGCTTTTGCCCTGCCCCTAAACCAAGCACAGCTGCTCTCCTTCACCCAACCACTCACCCCAGGGTGGGGAATTCACAAGAAAAGACCACCCCGAACAAGGGCTTTTCATTCCTTGCTCCCTGGAGTCTGAGGATGAGTTTTCTAAGTAGAAACAAAAGTGCTGGAGGCAGCGTGAGGGCAAGGCAGGGAAAGAATGGGGGAGTGTGAACCAAACAATGCTTCGATTCTGTCCCTGCCGAGGGGCTGGCATTGCCTCTTTTTCATGTTTCTTGAGTTGCTTTTAAAAGCTGTGCAGGGAGGAAAAAAGCAAATAGTTGCTTCCTTTTGTGTCACGTCTCCTTAATTTCTGAGAGTGGGAGCAAAGCGAGGTGCGGCAGCGCTGCCTTTGCACGCTGCTGGAGGTTTTGCCATTCAGAACCAAGCAAGAGGAGAGAGGGCAGAGGAAGGGTGAAAATCAGCACCCTGTGCTGAGCTGGCTGAGGCAGCACCAGCCTCTCCAGACGTGCTCACACGTGTGTCTGCACATACAGCAGCCTTCTAAGAAACTATGGCCAACTAATTGTGGGGAGACTCGCGGGAGAGGAAATGAAATGAAAAATTGAGTCTGAGTTATAAAAATAAGTAATTTCTATCCTACTTGCAGGAGGCTTATATTAATTAAACATTATTACAGTGGATGAGATGGGGAGGGTTGTTAAGTCTGGGGCTGGCTGTAAGTGTTCTCTCCTGTTGCCTGAGGCTCCACTGAGCTCCAGATATTAATCTTCTAAAGCACTCAAATGCTGAAGAGATAAACACTTGAAATATGAAAATGTTTCTCTCCACAGCAGACACTGTGACCCTATGTCACGCCAAAGAATTTGTCAGATGTCCATACAGGCTGCACTTGGAGCATTACCTTGTCTCTTAGAAAAATGCTGAGCACCTCAGGAGCTGCAGAGAGAAATGATGTGTGCATTCGTGTGGGGGAGATTTGTGTGTGGAGATACAGCAGATTCTCCTCTTCCCATATGTTTCTGGAATACATATTTTCCTCTTTAGCACTGCCTACCAGGTGTTGGCTGCATGGCTTTCCAACTGGCTGGTGGCAGTGCCAATCTGGCCAGTGCCTCTGCCAGGTGGCTAACAGGTTCCCCTGAGGGTTTGCATCTTGAGACTCCACCTCACTGGAGGGAGGGCTGGGAGGAGTGCACAGCAGGCACAGCTCCCTGGGTGCATGGCACGCAGGCACTGCAGTCACCAGACATCAGGGCAGAGCTGAAGACAGGTAAGATCAGCCAGCTCTTCCTGAGGGAGCCTTGAGTTTACTAAGCAGTGATGGATAGGGAGAAGAAGTGATGCTGTGGTGATGGAGTCTACTGTTACAAGGAAACTGGCAAATGTGCTTCCTGCCACCCGTGCCACAAAGTCAATGAGGGTAAGAAAAAGGCACCAGTCCCAGGATGAGTTCCAAGATGTGAAGCTGAAGAACTTGATCTATCAACCACTCTGCCAGAGGCAGGCTCCCTTCCAACCTATGCCAGCACATCTCAGTGAGGTCCTCCATAAATTAGGCTCTGCTACGCTCATGCAAATCTTCTGCTTCCAAAGCACAGAAGAGAAAAGGAGCAAAAGTCAAACAGCAACAAGCTGGCATATGTCAGCATTCTTAGGGCTTAGCTCATCCTTCACTTGGAGGAGGCTGAAATCCAGCCTGTGTGAGCCCAGTGTGCAGAACAGCCCAAGACTATATGCAATCCAAGCAACAGACTGGAGGAAGAAATGCACGTCTAACAGAAGAGGGGAAATTCTGGGGAAAAAGCACTGGGTCCTCCAGAGGACATTTGGATCAGTGTGCAGAACAAAGCCCAGGCTAACCTTCACAGATTCAAAGCCCAGGGTATGATTCAAGGCTATCTCAAAAGGATAGTTGATTTAATTCAGTGCCAGTGGTCACACTGCTATAAATGTGTCATGAACCATACAGCAAAGCATCCGAAAGCTTCCACAAAAGAAAATGCTCAGCTCTGCACAGCTTTCATGACTCTTAACAGCTCTGCAACAATCAGTCACACTGTTCACAAGGAGAAAGCCCCATCAGCTCCCACATCCTTGCTTTCACAGGCTATTAAACCATCTTACCAGGCACAGTCTCAGGGCTCGGTTCAGAGTCGCCAATCCAGGTGCTTGTAGGCTGAAAAGACCACGTGGAACCCGTTTCCAAATCATGTGACCAACCACACAGGCCTTCAGGGAGATCAAAGTTGCAGTTGAAGTTCACAGGGAGGTGGAAATCTTACAGAAAGAAATAGAAGCAAAATAAAGTTGGATTAAAAAAATGACCTACACTCAAAGGGTTGCTATTAAAAAACAGCCCAAAACTGAAATAGCTGGCAAACCTTAAGTACTGAAGAAAGCATGAAATCTCATTCACACTGCTGCTTTTAAGCTGTCTCACATTTTGTCAGCTCCAGGGATCAGCCTTAAATTCTGCATCATCAAAATGCTCACACCATGTCCTGTGGCTAATCCACCAAACTAAGCAAATATAAAAGCAAGTACCAAATGCTTCCAGACTCTAATCAGCACCTTCTCTTCATCCCCTAGAGCGGTCAAATATTAAATGCATTCTTAAATGTCAGGGAGGAGTGCTTCCTGAGTGCCCTGTGCTCATCAGTTCCTGCTCTGGCTCCAAAAGGAGGCTCTCAAGTGCTCCAGAAAGCCAGCTCCTGAGTGACAGGTCCAGCCACTTGCAGCAGACGGGAGCTGTCTGTTAACGTGGTGAGCTGTCACTCACCCCTTCCTACCTTCCTGGGGAAATGCTACCAGGGGAAACATGGGGCCAACGTAAGCTCCAGCTTTTGGGTTCTGAGTCCTCTATTTCTAGCTCTGCTATGGACTCTCCACATGGTCTTTGGGCGAGTCATTTAACTTTTCAACTGTGAAACAGGAGCGGGGCTAATTCCCCTGTGTCAACAGCTCTAAAAGCTCTGGAGAGCCCTCCTGCAGGGACAGGTCTGTGGGCAGGAGGGCACATGCCAAGGGCTGCACAGAGCCGTGAGGCAGCTGCTGGCTCCTTCTATTGGGGAAGGCACAGAGGCTGCAGGAACGGTCTGAGATCACCCCAAGCACTCAGTGGACGTGCACGTCAGAGCCCAATTATAGGCCAAGTTTTTCCTGAGCAAAGAGGAAGTTTTAAATCACAGTGCCCACAAAGTGAGCAATAGGCAGAGGGAGGTGAGTGACTCAAGGGATAGGCATCAGGGGAACTTTGCTGTGAGGAGCAGAGGGCTTTCTTTACACACGCTCCCTCTCCGAAATAAAACAATGCAGATCGTGGATCCTTTTATTCCAATCTAATCTCCTACCCTGGAGAGCAGCATTGTTTCTGTTTGGCTGTCATAAATCTGTCTGTCCAGAGAAACACACTCATTGTTTATGGAGTATGAGAATGAAAATTGTTGCTAAATCTGAGGGAAGCTGACAGGGAGGCTGGTTCCACGCTCTGTGGTGTACTCTGCTCACTCTCTCTCCCTGGACTGCACCCAGGAATCACGTGGTTCTAAAGACTATTATGGGCCTAAGTTTCCTTTCAGCATGTTCCCAAGTGCCTTGACAGTAGCAGGGTTGCACAGGCTCACCACTGAGGCAGAGCAACCAGAATCAGCCCCTCTGAGCTACTTCTGCAACTTGCGTTTCCAGAACTCCACTACAGCAAAATCCCAATGGGAGGTGTGAAAAAGCCAATTAATGTACTTGAAAAAAAAATGTATTTATTTTAAAACCCATTAATTTTTTCTCTGAGCTAGGAAGCTGAAGTGACAGAATTCCTAGGAGCTCTCTCAAATGATAGCTTTTCCTCCTGAGATTTCTCACTGCAGTCCTTGTGTGAATGCCCCAGCTCAGTGCTGAGGCTCAGGCTCTGCTGTCGTGCCCAGGGCTGTGCATCTCCTGCATACCACACCTTACAACAAACTGCACAGCTCTGCCAAGCCCTCTCCCTTCAATCTGGACAATTCCCAAGCTTTAGATGCTCACCTCCCCCTTGCAAGGAGCAGAAGACTATGACATCTGCTTTTCCAGGTAGGGATCTGAGGCAGAGAATATTAATGCCCCCCAGTACCAGCTCTCAAGAAGCACAAACATTGTCTCCTCTATAGGCAGACAAGGCAAGCAAGTGCCACAGATACTAAACCATTCCCTGCACATCTGACAGCATTCTAAGACCAGGAGGACAAACTCCTGCCTTGAGTCAGTGTTCCCCTTTCTCTGCTGCCTGCACAAGGAGCCCAGGCTGTCCTTCTAAATTTTAAGCAGCTGATATTAGGGAAGATGATCCTTAGCAGATAGGTGTTCAGGATATCAGCCTTCTCTACATGTCATGATTTAGTCCCACAGTTGTGATCTCTACAAAAGGAGCCCTGCACACCAGGCAGTCTGAATCTCCCTTGAATCACCTTCTGAATTTCTGACACCCAGCCAAGGAGATCTGGAACAGAGGTGGCTCTAAACAGGGCACTAAGTGAGTTTCTTCAGGTCACATAAGGAAGCTGGGAGACCAGCTCTTCAAGTCTCGTACCCTAGGGACTGAATTAGTTGCTATCTCTTGCTCTTGCATCCTTCCTTGATCTAACTTATCAGATTTTGGCAGGTTTGGGTTTTTGTCTTGTGGGTTTGATTTTTTTTTTTTAAATCTTGGCCTATCACTAATAATATTACTCTAACCTTTCCAGGAATCAGCCCCATGTATAGGAGCTAATGGGAAGATAAGAGTACCTGCTTAGCTCTTAACCCATCATTTACTGAGCTAAAGATGAGCTGCTCTGATACATACCCTCCTCTTCTCCACAGCTCTCGCCACACTCGGTTGCCTCTTCATCAGTTGGGTATGGGGTGGTGGTCTCTTCACTCTTCAGAGTGGGCACCAGTGTCTCTGCAGTGGGCTTCACATCTGACACAAACAGAGCAGAGAAGCTATTTGCAGTAGACAGTACATAAAGCCCAGGTAGGAGGAAACAAAGCAAAAAATCTTTTTCTCATGTTCTTCCAGTGGCAGCAAGAGATAGAACAAGAATACCATGAGGTCTCCTCATGCTCCTTATGTCAGCATGGTTTGAATTTCAGGTATCTGGCTGTTCCCACACAGGGGCTCTTTTGATTTAGAGTTCCTGTTGGACAAGACTCTCCTCTAGACGTACACACTACTTTTTCTCTTAATTTTTTAATCTACACTAGTGTTAGCAATCCACTTAGCTGTCATTACTGGACAAGAGAGATCACAGGCAGAAGGTCTTTTTCTTTCATAAAGGCATATGACACGTTAAAAAAAACCCCACACACAACATTCCCAGCAATCGTGCCAATTTATAAACCAAGTCACTCAAATCCACAAGTGATGTAACCACAAATGGACCCAGAGGATCCCCTAGTGCACTCTGGCTCACTGCAGAAAGCATCTGGTTTCACACTCCAGGCTCCTGACTACCCTTTCAAAGGGTCTCTGTCCAATTTCCCTCTCTCCAACATGGCCCGTGTGAAACAACCCCCAAGCAGGTGTCAGGGGAAATTTAAGCAAGAAAGGGAAGGATATTAAGATCAACAGTAAATGATATTAGGTTCCAGCAGTCTCTCTTTTTATGGGTGCATTAACTGGAGTAGAGCAGACTTGATTCTTTCCACTTTTAAAAAGAGGCTGCTTTGTTCAGTTATGTGTGATTGTGTTTCTTTGTTGGCACTCTTCAGGATATCATTTAATAAAGCCAGAAGCAGGAGGAAATGCCTAAATACATTGAATATTTTCCATAGGCTCCTTACTGCCCTTTTATTTTCCTGTTATTAGACATGCTGCACATAAACTCTCAGGGTTTTTTTACCTTTTTTTCCTTCCAGTGGCTGTCTTTTGTTTAGGATAAAATACCAAATAACCTCAAAGTCTTTTTAATTTGTACGTTCAAATTTGTTACAACCCCATAAAACTCCAAAGGCAACCAAGAAGCAAATTGCAAGCAGCCAGGCACAGAAAAATGTCATAAAAAAAGGAAAAGGGGAAAAAAAAAAAAGCAGCAGGTGAAGGCAACATCTCACAAGCTGTGAGTTATTTAGAGCCGACACGTTTTCTTAGGGTGTTGTTCTTGTATATTGAGATTTATAGCCAAAATGTGAGTGTGGAAGGACCTTGAAAACCAAGTCCCACACGGGACACAGATGCTGAGGGGATGTAAATCAACAGAGTCTCATCGCCCTGGACAAGCTGCAGAAATATATCTTGAAAAATCAGTTACCATGGCAGAGCCGCAACACGGCGGGTACAAGAGATAATGAAAATAGCAGGGAAGACAACGTGATGTGTGAAATGGAAAGTGAAAAAGAGAGAGGTCCTGCTTGCTTGCTTTCCTCTCCCCCTAGCCCAGCAAGTGTCTGTGCAACTGGTGGTAACTGCTGATCAAAATGCAAAGTCACTGAGCAATTGAAACCAGATGTTTGGAACTTCAAAGGAGAGAAAACCAGCTGCAAGTGAACATTCATCAATCTCCACTCTTCAGAAGAGAAATTTTGGCAGGTCTTTGAAAGAAGCCAATTGCTGACTGCCTGCTTCCCAATTTTTGGGTTACTAGCCAACTAGTTTGTGAGCCCAGTTGCTGTTAAGTTACCTGTTTGAGTCTGTAATTAAGACGCTTGCTGCTGAAGAGAAATAGAAACATCTGGGGCAGGGTACACACGTGCTTAGGCCCTCATTTGAAAAATATTTTCAATCAGCTTGTTTTAATCCATCTCTTAATCTTGTTCCCAGGCAAGTGCAATTGCCTGGGTCTTTACAGCCAGTTCTGTAACGTGCCTGGGTCCTGCCAGCAAAGGAGGGCTCTGCCTTGGTGCTGTTAAGGAGTGCTGCGTGCAGGCAGCCTGGATTTCCCATGCAGATAATGCCTGGGCTATCTCTGCTCAGTGCCTGGGCTATCTCTGCTCAGTGCCTGGGCTATCTCTGCTCAGTGCCTGGGCTATCTCTGCTCCCCAGGCTGCAGCAGGGAGAGAAATGCTTTTTTAGAACATGGTGAATCCACAAGATTACAAGCCCGGCTCTGATTACAAAGCCAAATGCCTGCAGATCAATAAAGCTACGAATATTTATGGCTTGGCAGTTGAGTTTTAAACATTACAATGTGCAAATGGTTAGACAGGCACCCTGAGAAACCACCATAAAGCACCCTGCTGGAAAATACACGGGCTGTTGCTGCTGATACTGAAACCCAGCGTGGACATGGCTGTAAAAGAAAATTTGGACCAGAGATAGCACCAGAAGTTGAGGATGCCAAATCCTGCTTCTTCTCCAGCTTGCAGGAGTGCAGTGGAGGGTCTAACACCTGGACGGCTGGAGGTCCTGATGGTCTGCAGAGACCTGGCAGCCAGAGACTCCTGGGAGCTGCAGGAGATGTGCAGCGATGTGGGAGCTGCTCGAGCACTTCTGCACAGAGCCTCAGTGTCTGCTGCTCCCCTGAAGGCCACAGTGCTCCCTTCTCCTACAACATCCCAACTGATTTCACCTTTAGATCACTTGCAAGGGGTTCCCAGTCCAGGGGGAAATGTGTCGTTGACTTCAAAGGTGACAAATGATCATTCCTAATTGTATGGATGTGTGTTGTGTGATTTGCTGGTAAGTGTTTGTAACCCATCTCCTGGCACATCACAGGACAAAAGGGTAGTAAAGACTCCTCAAAAAGGTTGGAAGAAAGCTTGATTTCACCTTTAGATCACTTGCAAGGGGTTCCCAGTCCAGGGGGAAATGTGTCGTTGACTTCAAAGGTGACAAATGATCATTCCTAATTGTATGGATGTGTGTTGTGTGATTTGCTGGTAAGTGTTTGTAACCCATCTCCTGGCACATCACAGGACAAAAGGGTAGTAAAGACTCCTCAAAAAGGTTGGAAGAAAGCTTGTGTCTTTTCAGGAATTCTTACAAGAAAATGCCTTCTACAGATCTGTTTCTAAGTGGAAACCGTACCTTTTTATCACTGACATCTGGACACCAGATTCAGATTTAAGCAGATTATTAAAAAATAAAATAGATTAAAAAAAGGGACAACTAGCCCCTGGCACTGTAAAGCTACCATCAGACCCAATGTGCTGTTAGGTGCATTTTTGGCTCTGGGGGATGAAACTGTGGAGCAATCAATCACCACCGAGCCTCAGAGGGTCACAGGCAGAACTTCTACTGATCCCAGTGAGTGTGTTACAGTTTTCACCTCTGTATTACAAACAATGGTGGCTGCAAGGCTTGTGAAAAACAGGTGGGAAAAAGTGAAAGAAAAAGTGAATGAGCTTCCCTGGTCTTAGGGATGTTGTAGAGACGTCAGAGTTAAATCCCCTCAATTTGCTGCAAAAGGCTTTCTATGTGAGGTTCAATGAGAGAGGGACCATTGTTTTTACAGCAAAGCCTTGAGGTGGCAGCTCGAGATACCTGTATTGGTCACTGCACCTCTGTTCCACACCTCTGCTTCTCTTCCAACTTTTTATCTTACCCGTTTGGATTGAAAAGCCCAAATGTTACCCAGCACAGACTAGGAAAGCCTGTACAACATCCAGATAAAGGATTTAAAAGGAGGGAGAAGGGAGTTGGGGACAAATCCTTCATGGAGAGCTGTGTGAAAGATTGGATTGGGGTCCAAACGTTGCTGCTACCTCCTGCACCAAGGTGAGTTCTTGCTAAGGTGGAGTTAAAAGAAGGGGTCAGGCTGCAGGTTCTGCCCTCACGGCTGCAACCTCCCTGCCACAGCACGGCCCTTACAAACAACCTTACACTTGCACCTTGCTGGTTCAGTGCCTGCTGAGGCCCCAGTGGGCAGAGGCACAGGGACTCCTACCTGTCCAGTCGCAGCCCAGCACCTCCAGGCGCATTCCTATCCCTGCTGGGGACCACCTCTCGGGGTGCACTCGGACGTACTGGGCAGGAACGGGGTCAAACCGCCGCACCTCGGGGATGTCGTAGTGGATGTTGCCTTCAAAAAGCTAGAGAGACACAGAGAGGAAAGGCAAGTGATGTGTGCAGCCCACATGCTCTCCACCAGACCTGATAATTCGTGTCTGGCAGGATGCAGCCACAGTTTGAAATAGTTTAGCTGTCTGACTCCGGGCCATCCAGTCCAGCTGAACAGAAATTGAGCTGTTCCTCCTCAGTTTCAAGAGGACCAGACAGGCTGTTTCTAAGAAACTTGCACAATCTCTTGGCCTCTGCTTTATATTCAGGGGTCAGATTCTGATCCAAGCCATGCAGGGGAAGCCTGGGGAATATCCACTAACTTAACATATAAATAAGATCAGATTTGTCCTTTGGCAGATAAAGAAGCTACTGCATGTTCTAGGATAGTGTAAATGCTCAGCTTTCCTCACGGTCCAAGTACTGCTGCTTTTCAGCTTACGTGCATGAACTCAAGTCTCTGGGGAACAAACAGAGGGCTATAGATAGCATCAGGCCTTCTAAGACTCATTTGTAGGATCAGGAAAAGTTATAACCTACCCAAATTTTCAGAAGCAGATGAGTTTGTAGAAAATCAGAACAGGCAGTAGCAGAGAACTAATTTATCCCTCAAGCCCCTCGTCACTCCCACACTGCTAAGCAGGAAGATTATGGGGAACTCCAATGGCATGGGAAAAACACAGGGGATTTCGGGGTCACACCAGTGTGACACGAGGGACTTCAGATACAGCAAATTTCCCAAAGACAAGTTGAGATTCGTCTTCCTCTGCCAGAGGTGCAAGGCACAAATTGGTGTCAAACAATCAAACACACCATCTTGTGGGCTCTGACCTGCAGGAGCTGGGAGGACCAGAAGGTGAAGTGCACATCCCCAGGCCTGGTCCACAAAACGAAATGAAGGGAAGTTACCATCCTTGGGGCAAGGTGGAGCCTACAGCCCCTAGTACAGCCTAGAGCAGCATCAGGACACACAACCTCGGATTTTATGGTGACAGCCCAAGCTCCCAAGGTCTCTGGGGGGGGAGAGACAGCTAATTCCCCAAGACCCCATTCAGGCAGACTGAAGACAGCCAGAAGCACCTTGTATTACAGCTGCTCCAGGCAGTGCCTACCTTGGCTTGCATCGTTTTGGGGTCCTGGATGAAGTCCCAGTCCTTTCCATTCATGCTGTAGGCCACCTTGAACTTCTTCACAAAGGAGCGGGACTCGGCGGTGGTCACGCTGTCCCCTCCTCGAGCCCCCTGGATGATGATGCCCCTGACGTTCTTCGGGACGCCGAGGTCCACCTGCAGCCACTCCTCCCCGGGCTGGGCCTGGGGCAGGCGGGGGGTGCGTCCCCCCAGCCGGGCCATGCTGGGGGACCAGTCGTAGCCTCTGACGGAAGAGGCCGAGATCTGCGGGTCGGGGATGAGGCCGGAGAGCATCCCCAGCAGGCTGGAGCAGGGTGAATCTGCAGGGAAGGGGAGCACGTCAGCAGCTGGGGTGTCTGGAGGGAGCGCTCTGGAGAAGAGAAGGCTCCAAGGTGACCTTATTGTGGCCTTCCAGTAACTTAGGGGGGCCTACAAGAAAGCTGGGGAGGGACTTTTTAGGATATAGGGTAGTGACAGGACTAGAGGGAATGGGGCAAA